TCCATCTTCTATCCGCCTCCCACTCTCTCCCTATTTATTTCAGAACCGCCTTCCCCTCCCCCTTTTCTGATGAAGGGTCTAGGCCTGAAACGTCAGCCTTTCTGCTCCTATGATGCTGCTTGGCCTGCTGTGTTCATCCAGCCCTGCACCTTGTTGTCTCAGATTTACCAGAATGTTGCCTGGACTGGAGAATTTCAGTTATGAAGAGAGTTTGGACAAACTAGGGTTGTTTTCCTTGGTGAAGAAGAGACTGGGGATCATGTTTGAGATGTATAAAATTATGAGGGGCATAGACAGGGTAGATAAGAAGGAACATTTTGCCTTGGTAGAGGGACCAATCCCAGGGGAATAGATTTAAGGTAAGGGGCAGGAGGTTTAGAGGGAGTGTGAGGAAATCATTGTCACCCAGATGATGATGGGAATCTGGAACTCACTGCCTGTCAAGAGTGGTAAAGGCAGAAACTTGTATGACACTTAAAAACTATTTAGGGGAGGCAATGGCCTGGTTTTATTATCGCTGGATTATTAATCCAGAGACTCAGGCAACATTCTGGGGACCTGAGTTTGAATCCCACTATGGCAGATGGTCATATTTGAATTCAATAAATATCTGGAAATAAGAGTCTAATGATGGCCATGAATTGATTGTCAGGAAAAACCCATCTGGTTCACTAATGCCCTTTAGGGAAGGAAACCTGATGACTATAGATCCACAGCAGTGTGGTTGTCTCAGCTACCTTCTGTGCAATTAGGGATGGGCAATAAATGCTGGCATGACCAGTGACACCCACATCCATGGATGAATTTTTAAAAAATGACATGCACTTGCAATGCCAAGACACACAACGCTGTGAGGCCAAGTGCTGGAAAATGAGATGAGCATAGTTAGGTGATTGCTTTTGACCAGTGCATTCACATTGGGCCAAAGGGCCATTTTCTGTGCTGTAGACCTCTATGACTAACCCAGTAATGTCCAGAAGTCCATTTTCCAATTCTCATCATCCATAAATATATGCATTGCCAACAGTGGGTCACTTAGTTTGTCCAAACTACATGCCCCGCTAAAAACCAGAGGTGAGGAATGCTGTACATGGTTTCGAACCTCATACTGAATGATTGAACAATACTCATTGTCCCATTAAATATTTTCAATTTAACTTCTGTTCCAGGATGGAGAGGAAGTTTTTGACACGATGACCACATGGGAGGTAATGGTGTTTGTATTCAGTAGTGAAGAAAGAGCTAACTTTTATTTACCTTTCATTGTCTTTTGAAAACACTTCACAGCATTTTCCTTTTTGTCGTTTGGGATAACTTGGTAGCAAATGTTGTACATAACAAGATCCAACAAGAATTGAGTGGGAAAGAATGATGAATTTTGTTTTTGGGCGATATTGAGTAATATTGCCCAGGACAGTGGGAGGTCTCTCCCTCCAATAGAGTTAAGGGCTACATTATGTGCACATGGCCGATTTAACAGGGCCACAGTTTTAACAACTTGTCCAAAAGCGGCCACACAGTGCCTCCCCATGGCACCCTAGTGAAATGGCAGCTGAGTGAGACATGCTGAAGCCCTGAGATTTCAGAGTCCCCCAACCCAGAGGTGTCAGTGATACTGACCAAGCCAAGACGGCCATCCAGTGGAAGAGGGACTGGACTAATATCACCTTCATCTCCTGAAACAACAGGGTATGAGAAACCAGGGCCAGGCCGATCAGATCCATATTCACTGTGTGTTATAAGTTACCAACCACTGTGAAATTTGAATGGGGAGAGATTCTTTATGGTTAACACTCAAAGGAATGTTCTTCAATCACCTAAACTGAAGAGAATTAATACATTGGTGAATAAGAAGGAAGATTTACGTGCTCCTGAGTGAATCACTGGAGGTTAACCAGTTAATAACATCCAATTCAACCTCAAAAAGACAGATGGGCCCATTCTGCCTTTTGAGGGGTTTAGTGATGTTATTGGGTTGAAGGAGTCTCCCACCCTCCTAGGTCTTACAGGCTGCATCATGGATCTGCTTGGATCCAATCTCAAACCTTCATAGGAACAGGAGGCCATTTAGCCCTTCAACCTTTGTTCTGCATTCAGCTAGATCATGGCTGATTGGTTTTCCAGATAATGTTTCTCTAGGCTGCACATGCTGGGAAGCTCGGTGTGTGTTGGATTCCACTTCTGGAAGCTGCTACCATGCACAAACCTCCAAGAAACATGTGAGGGAACTTTGGTCCTAGCTCCTGTCTCGGTATTGGAACCCTGAATCCTGCTACCCAATGAAAATTGATCAATCTCCGTTTTAACAGTTTCAATCAACCCCCAGCCTCAATGTTTTATTTACGAGGACAGAGAGTTCCAGATTTCCATTGCCTTTCGAGTGCTTCCTTATCTTACCCCTGAATGGCCTGGCTTCAATTTTAAGGCGATTCCCCCTAATCTGGTCCTCTTTTCCCCACCCACCAGGGGAAGTAATTACCCTTCTTAACAGTAGTGTGGGTGTACAGATGCCACAGTGCAAGAGGCAGCTCATGCCAAACCAATGGTGCACCCGTCAATGCCTGTGACAAATGAAAAAGAAATTTAGAATGAATTCCTTCATTCGTCTTAACCACCATGATTAGGTCACTTTTGCATACAAGGGAATGCAATCCTTGTATTGTAACCCTCACACAATGCAGCCATTCTGTGAGCTGCTCCCTCTCGGGTGTTAACATATCCTTCCTGATGTAGAGTGCCTGGCGCTTCCAGGTAACAACTGACCACAACCAGGTGCCATCAACGCTATCCCTGGCATTTCAACCTGCATGAGATAAAGGCTAACAGTCCAATTCTCTTTTACTTTCCTGAATCTGCTCAGGGGAATTTGTGGAGGGAGCTTTACTCTGTATCTAACCCCGTGCTATCGCTGTCCCTGGGAATGTTTGATGGGGACGGTGCAGAGGAGGCTTCACTCTGTATCTAACCCCGCGCTGTCTCTGTCCTGGAAGTGTGCTGAAAGACCTTGATTCTAAGCTTTATCTAACACATTCCATTCCTGAGCATTGACTTTTTTGGGGATAAAATGCTCACAAATGTATTTTTGACAAATTGCTTTGATTGATTCTGATGGACTAGCCCCTCCAGTGCAGACTGGAGGCAGCAAACTCCAAGCTTGATTTTGTTTTTCTAAAGCAAATGAGGTTTAATCTTCTTTTCTGGGTGCAGGTGGAGAATTGGGAATATGCTCAGCTTCAGGAGGTGCTGAAGTTGGATGAGTGTGTGATTGACCCAGCTCCATTCAGACTCGTGGAAAAAGAAACCCTATATGAGGTAAGAGCTCATGAGAGTGGATTGATCTGAACTGCCCACTGCTGCTCTGATGTCTTGGCTCCCCGTTGGCTGCATGAGCCAACATGGTGCTGGTTCCGATCCCCAATCCGCCTGCATGTTCGGCTCACCAACCTCAGCGGGATGCCCCCTGGGAGGTATTGTCACATGACCCCCCGTGCCCAACTGCCCCTGTCCCTACTGTCCTGCCATTGGTCACCCAACAGGTCCATTCCTCATGGTGCCCCAAACACCCAATGCCTGTTAAAAGACCATGAGATGTCGGAGCAGATTTAGGCCAAATCAGCCCATCAAGTCATGGCCCATTTGACCACGGCTGATATGTTTCTCAACCCCATTCGACCACGGCTGATATGTTTCTCAACCCCATTCTCCTGCCTTCTCCCTGCAACCCTCAATCCCCCTTACTAATCAAGAACCTATCCATCTCTGTCTTGAAGACAGTCAATGACTTGGCCTCCACAGCCCTCTGCAGCAATGAGTTCCACAGAGTCATCCCTTCTGACTGAAGAAATTCCACCTCATCTTGGTTCTAAAGGGTCGTCCTTCACCCTGAGGCTGGGCCTTGGGTCCTAGTCTCTCCTACTAGTGGAAACATCTTGTCCATGTCCACTCTATCCAGGCCTCTAAGTATTCTGTAAGTTTCAATGAGATATCTACCACCTTCAAAATTCACTCCCTCCACATCAATGCACAGTGCCAACATGAGTACTATCTACAAGGTGCCCTCACCATTTCTCCTTCGACAGCATCTTCCAAACCTATGACCTCTACTTAGAAGGACAAGGGAAGCAGATGCATGGGCCTGCATGTTTCTAAGCCACATACCATCCTGACTTGGAACTATATTCTTTCCCTTCACTGGGTCAGAATCCTTGAACTCCCTTATAAACAACACTTAGCTATACCATATGGGCTGCAGTGGTTCATGGATGTGGCTCACCACCATCTTCACAAGCTCAACCAAGGATGGGCAATAAATGTTGGCCGAGCTCGTGACACACACATGCTGAGTGGGGGGTGGTGTGGGTGAGTGGGTGGGCACAGTGCCTCAGTAGTTAGCACTGCAGCCTCACAGCACCGAGGACTCGGCTTCAATTCCACCTCTGAGAGACTTTGTGGAGTTTGCACATTCTCCCCGTGTTTGAACACAGCAGAAATGAAGAAGGGTCTAGGCCTGAAACGTCAGCTTTCTTGCTCCTCTGATGCTGCCTGGCCTGCTGTGTTCATCCAGCTCCACACCTTGTTATCTCAGATTCTCCAGCATCGGCAGTTCCTACTATCTCCCCGATCTGCGTGTGTTTCTTCCAGGTGCTCTGTTTTCCTGTCACAGTCCAAAGATGTGCAGGTTAGGGTGGATTGGCCATGCTAAATTGCCCCATAATGTTCAGGGATGTGCAGAGTAGGTGGATTAGCCATGGGAAAAATACAGGTTTGTCGAATAGGGGATGGGTCTGGGTGGGTGCTCTTCAGAGGGTCAGTGTGGACTCAATGGGCCGAATGGCCTGCTTCCATGCTGTACGAATTCTAGTTCTAAGAGAAAATGAAATAAAACTTTCTCGGCCATTCAAAAAGATTTTGACTTAACTGCCCAAACTTTTGTTGATAAAAAAATCAATTGATTTCAATCTTCAATATACCAAATGACTGAGCATCCACAACCCTCTTGGACAGAGAATTCCAAAGGTTCACTACCCGCTGAATGAAGACATTCCTCCCCATCTTAGTCCAAAATGCCTAACCCTTTATCCCGAGACTGTAACCCTTTAGTTCAAGGTTCTTCAGTCAGAAGATGTGTCCTATCTGCATCTGACCCTCAAACAATTTGAGAAGTTTCATAGTTTCTTGGGATTTGGAGAATCTCGTTAGCTTCTTATCTTTTCAATTAAAAGAGGCAGCAACAGCATGATCAGAGATGCCACTTTAACCAGATGGGAGGCAGAGGGTACACACTGCTTGAACAATTGCCCATGCTTGAAGTGTTTGCCCCTTAGTTTGACTGACTGTCCCATTGCGCCTTAAGGAGTCTCCAGGGTGAGCTGGAGCTGTTTTGAGTGCGTGAGGGAGTTGCAGGGAAGAGAGATGATAATATTGCAATTCAATAACATGAGTGCTATCCCTGCACCACCCCGTGCCAACTGCGCTCATGGTCTCACGTATTGAAATATCATGATGTCCCTGTCCCTGTTTAACGGGCACAATGTTGAGAGGACTCTGCTTTCAGTTTCCTTTTAGTTCAAAGAGTGGAGGAAGCTTTACTCTGTGTCTAACCCTGTGCTGTTCCTGTCCTGGGAGTGTTTGATTGGAGACAGTGTAGAGAGATCTTTACTCTGTATCTAACCCCGTGCTGTTCCTGTCCCTGGGAGTGTTTGATGGGAGACAGTGTAGAGAGATCTTTACTGTGTATCTAACCCCGTGCTGTTCCTAACCTGGCAGTGTTTGATGGAGGGCAGTGTAAAGGAGGCTTTACTCTGTACCTAACTGCATACTTCCCTTTTCCTGGGAGTGTTTGATGGGGGACAGTATAGAGGGAGCTTTACTTCCAGTTTACATTTAGTTGAAAAGAGTGGAACTATCATGACAGGTTCTGGGTGCTTTTGACAGACAAGGACTGGAAACCAGAACTGGTATGAGCGAATGAATATTTATTTACTGTTTACACGAGTTACAGTGAGATGGTACAGTGTGACTCCTTCAGAATCTTCCTCTCTGAAATCCCTGTACCACACGATGAGGCATCATCAGATACTGAGGCTGATACACTCTGACTGTTACAGTACACGGTCATGCTCTGCAAGCCTTGATTTAAATCCCCAAGCCCCACATGTGGGAGTGACAACTTACCACACATAAAATGCCCCTCATTTTATCTCAAAACAGTCGACCACCTTGGGTTCATTGACTGCTCTCATCAGTAGTATATTGTAAGACCTCGGCATTTTGTTATTCTCAGTATGGGAAGTATAAATATCAAGACTCGATCCTGCTGCGTGGTTCCCTGCGTAGACTGTGAAAGACATTTGGCACAACGCCTCATCACCAGAACTTTCCAACAAGCACCAAGACATCACTTGGCTGGTGGTGAGAAGGGCACTGTCTGTGAGATTCTTCATGCACGCTTGGACTCTCTGCGCCACTGCATGCTATCCTCAAAGTGGCTGCAGGGCTGGGGGAAGAGACAATCACACAAAGAGACCTTGGGATGCAGGTTCATTGTTCCTTGAAGGTGGATTCCCAGGTAGACAGGCGAGTGAAGAGGGAAGTTCTGAGGAAGGGTCAACGGACGTGAAATGTTAACTCTGATCTTTTCTTCACAGACGCTGCCAGACCTGCTGAGCTTTTCCAGCAACTTCTGTTTTTGTTGCTAGTGAAGAAGGCATTGGGTATGCTTGCCTTTATTGATTGGTGCACTGAGTATAGCAGTTGGGAGGTCATGTTGTGGCTGTACAGGACATTCATTAGCCACGTTTGGAATACTGTATTCTGGTCTCCCTGCTACAGGAAGGATGTTGTTAAACTTGAAGGGTTCAAAGGATGTTGCCAGGGTTGGAGGGTTTGAGTTATAGGGAGAGGTTGCATAGACTGGGGCTATTTTCCATGGAGTGTTGGAGGCTGAGGGGTGACCTTATAGAGGTTTATAAAATCATGAGAGGTATGGATAGGGTAAACAGACATGGTTTTTTTCCCCAGGGTGGGATGGAGAGTCCAAAACTAGAGGGCATAGGTTTAAGGTGAGAGGGGAAGATTTAAAAGGGGCCTAAGGGCAACTTTTTCACACAGAGGATGGTGCGTGTATGGAATGAGCTGCCAGAGGAAGTGGTGAGGCTGGTACAATTACAATATTTAAAAGACATCTGGATGGGTACATGAATAGAAAGGGTTAAGATGGATATGGGCCAAAATGCTGGCAAATGGGGTCTAGATTACTTTAGGATATCTGTTTGGTATGGACCGATGGGTCTGTTTCTGTGCTGTACAGCTCTATGACTCTATCTCCATCTGGAACGTGTCTTTCAAGGAAGGTCAGGACAGAGATTCAGTCAAGGTTTTTGTCAAGGTTTGTCCCGAGCAGTTCCGTGATGCAGACCTCTGTGCTTTACGGGCTGTTCCTCGGGACACACATGGGGACAACTACTGACTGCACTTGGAGGACCATTAAGTGGGTGAAAGGCTCTCTGTGATCTTCCTGAAACTTTTTGGTCTCCAACTGTGAGAAGTTGTCCAGGATCAAGTGTTGCAGACTAGCAGTATCCAAGGCCAGGACTTTATTCTGAGGGACCCACTGAACCTTAGGGTAGTCACTGCCAAGGTGTGATGGAGAAAGATCACTTTGAGCCCTAGTGTACCTGAGAGGCTGGTAACTTATAGAATCTCTAATGAATGCATATTTTTAATGTATAATTGTACAGTTGGATCACAGCACAATAGACTGCATTCTGCTCAACTGAGGAAAGCAGAATTTTATTGTATTTTCCACAATGTCCAAATTGATATGTTTTGAACTGTACTTATAGAAATTTCATGAATGAAGTATATTTTTCTGAAAAAGAATTATTTTACAACGTACCTCACAGTGGAGCCCACACCCCTTGTGAGTCTTTTTCAGGCCAGTCTACGACATCACTGTAACTATGGGATAAAGGTGATGGATTTTGTCAGGGTATACATGAAGAATGTAGGAGCAGGTGTTGGCAATTCAGTCCCTCGAGCCTGTTCTGCTGTTTAATACGGTCATCGCTGATCTCACCTTGGCCCCAATTCCACTTTCCCGCCTGCTCCCCATAGCTCTTCAACCCGTTACTAATTAACCTAGGGCACAGCGATGCCAACTTGCATCAACATGGCACCTTTAATGTCGTGAAACTAGCCTCAAGGTGCTTCACGCAAGTGCTACCTACCAAAACAGTTGGGAAAGATGGTGAAAAGCAGGAGGTTTCAAGAAGAGAGAGTTGGAAGAGTTTTGGAAGGAAATTCCAGAGCCCAGGGCCCCAGGCAGCTGATGGCATGGCTGCCAACGAGAATGGTTGTGAGACTAGAACTGGAGAGATCTCGTCAGGGGAAGTGGCTTTCGTGGAGGTGGGAGAAATTGCAGAGATAGCAAGATGATTAAGTGAAGGGAGGGGTAAGCCAATCCAGGTCTGTTGGGGGTGATGGATGAATGGGACTTGATATGAACACAATGTAGCAGCAGAGATGTGGATGTTACGGTTTATATAAGGGGGAAGCTACAAAAGTGTTGGAGAGGCAAACATCAAGGCTTAACTCGTGTGACAACCAAACTCTGTTTATCTGTTCTTTTTAAAATGAAATGAATAAAAATACACCTTTAATTGCAGTGTTACGACCTCTTCAATCTGCTGGGACTGCGGATAGCTTATGTGACATCAACTGGAAGACTTGTTGGTGTTGTTGCTCTGAAAGAGGTAAGGGAAGGCTGAAATCTGTATGCTGCATCTCTCAGGGACTTTCCCTCATCGCGTTGGTTCAAAATCATAGGGATTCACAAAAATCAAATTCTTGCATTTATATATCGCCTTTCACAATCTCTGGAGCCCCCGGAAGGCTTTACAGTGGCCACCCATGAGGTGCTTTATTGCTGCAGTGTGTGAAACAGAGCAGGCAGTTTACACACAGCAAGATCTCACAAACAACTGTGCAATGTTGACAAGATAAGCCATGACTGATGCTGATGCAGAAGTATAGGATTGGCCACTTATTTGCTCTTCTTTCAACTAGCAGCTAGAAGATTGTTTATTTATGACCATCTCAGAGACTAGGCAGGGCTCTCCATTTAATATCATCCAAAAGACAACAGCTTAGATAGGAGCAGCAATTCCACACCAGAACTGTCAGCCTTGATGTTGTTCTCAAGTCATAGAGTCAGACAGCACGGAAACAGATCCTTTGGTCCAACCAGTCCATGCTGAATATAATCCCAAATCAAACTAGTACCACTTGCTTGCATTTGGCCCACATCCCACCGAACCTTTCCAATCCATGTATCTGTTTAAATGTCTTTTAAATGTTGTAACTGTACCCACATCCACCACTTCCTCTGGCATTGCACATAGAGTCAGGGAAATGTACAGCATGGAAACAGACCCTTCGGTCCAATTCATCCATGCCGACCAGGTATCCTAAATTAATCAAATCCCATTTGATTACATTTGGCCCATATCCCTCTAGACCCTTCCGATTCATGCACCCATCCAGATGCCTTTTAAATGTTGTAATTGTACCAACCTCCACCACTTCCTAGTTCATTCCATACACGCACCACTCTCTGCGTGAAAAAGTTACCCCGTCGGTCCCTTTTAAATCTTTCCCATCTCACCTTAAACCTATGCCCCCTAGTTCTGGACTGCTCCAGCCTGGGAAAAAGATCTTGACTATTCATCCTACCCATGCCCCTCATGATTTTATAAACCTCGATAAGGTCACCTCTCAGACTCCGATGCTCCAGAGAAAATCCCCCATGCCTATTCAGCCCCTCCCTAAAGTTCAAACCCTCCAGTCCTGGCAACATATGAATCAGAGATAGTGAATCACTCTGTGTAAAAAAAGTTGCCTCTCATGTCCTTTATAAATCTTTCTCCTCTCACCTTAAAAAGATGCCCCTAGTTTTGAACTCACCCACCCTGGGGAAAGACCCTTGCTATTCACCTTACCAATCGCCCTCATGATTTTATAAACCTCTAAAATCACCCCTCCTATGCTCCATTGAAAAAAGTCCCAGCCTATTTTTATAACTCAAAACCTTCATTCCTGGCAACATCCTGGTAAATTTTCCCTGAAACCTCTCCAATTTAATAATATCCTTCCTATAGAAAGGTGACCAGAACTGAGTCTTTGGAACGGGACTCAAACTCAAACTCAACCACCTGCCTTAGAGGGAAATGTGCTACCTGCTTAAATACAGCTAAGATCCTAAGACAGGCGGAACACAATCCAATATACCTGCTAGAAGCTGTGGACATTCCTACACAAGGACGAATGCTCTGCAGGCAAAATGACCATGTCCAGGTGCCTTCTCTGAATTAAACAAAAGTGTGGGCGACAATATTTACCCAGTATGTTCTCCATGGGTAATGCCTCGATCAATCAGAGTTAACCCGCCAAAACAATCAGCATCCTTTTCTCGTGCAGTAGAAATTGTTTCTCCCTGTGAAATTTTGCATTCTTGCATTTGTCCTGAGTACAAGTTTTATATTTGAATCAAATCTTTGGGGAGACAGATCAGAATTGTTTTGAGATGACTCAAGGGTGGATGATAACAAATTGATCAGGATTGACATTCACAACATAATTTCAAAACCAAACTACAGGTTTGCAGACAGTGCACTGTGGGAGGTGGTTGTGACTGCATCTAGATATATTGCAGTTAATTTAAATTACACGCAGTTCTGCAGCCTGCTCTCTGTTCTTCCCACAGCACTCCCTGTGAGGAGATGCGCAGGAGTGTCACACAACCTGGGATCAGGCTGCCCCGTCCCTGAAAACTGATCATTCAAGGTCAGCCCAATATTACCAGCTAATATTACAGCTATAAAATGCCAAATGGCTTTTGTTCAACCTTCTCTCCATGTCATGTCTATCATAGTTCATAAATTCACAGAAACTAATCAGGTATTTCATGACAGACCTGTCCCCACCAGCGCTGTACCCCAGTGTTATACAGCGAC